TTTTATAATAAGAAACAAACAACATAAGCTAAAATGAAGAAAGAAGGGAGAGGTGGGGGAGAGGCAGGGGAGGCAGGACGGGCAGGGCTTTGCCCCGGGACTCACCCATAGTCCACCGACTGGGAGAACCAGCCAAGGACGGGGTGCCAGTGGGTCAGGTTGGATTTCTTCTGGGTCACGTACTTCTGACAGTAGCACAGCATCTGCGTGAGCAAACTCACAAACCCATCTGTCTCCTCCTCCAACACTCTGGGGCTGAGGGAGCCCAGGTGCAGGAGGTTGCCTGCAAAGAGATAAGGCTGAGGGCGCGGGGTCCAGACAGACCTCGCGGCCCGCGCTCTGCCTGGCGCTCAGGCAGCCACGTCTCTGTGCGGGAAGAATTCCACGGGGAGGGGCACTTGTCAGGGCTGGGGCTGCAGGCGGTGCAGGGCCGAGACCTAGGCCAGCCTGGCTTCCCATCCTGGCTCTGCCCCAGGCCCGGGGTGACCCTCACCCCACCTCTCCCATCTTGTTTCCTCGTCTGTAAGACTGGAATAACGATCCCCACCTTCGATGTGAAGGCTGTATGGACTAACATGTAGACTGTCTGGCACACGGGGACGTGACATTTAGCTCATATGACATTTTACTGTTATTTTAAAACCAAGGGTTAAAGTAAGAAATGACCTTTTTGAAGAATATCTGAATTTCCATGGAAGTCACTGTATTCAAAGTTAACCAAGGTTATTTAACATGCCTTGTGTGAGGACTCCCCTAAAATTTGGCCTTAAGAACCTTTCTCTATGTTAGGCACTGAGAATTATGTATGTCTGCAGGTTTCAAATGCTTCTATCCACAACCCCTTTGATCTACAATGAAAACAGTAAAACAGATGATGCAGGCCTTACTCTAATCTAAGCCCAACCCAACTGCGCCCTCCCTTCTCCCAACATGAGAATTATCCAGGCCACTCATCACGTTTTCAATTTTCCCTTGGCTGCCAGGAAGCTAAGGGCTAAAACTTAACATTCACTTACACTCACTCAACCAGTTTGCCAAGTTGGATCTATTTCCCATGTGATTTTCAACTTCACATGTCTCGTTTAACTGTCTATCTGATTACATGTTTCCTATTGTGAACACTTCTAATCATTAATAAAAACAGCTCTTGATCTCCCGAAAGGTGAAAAACAAACCACTTGTGGTTTTCCCGACGCCCAGGACACAATCACATCCCAGCCTCAGCTACTCACCCATTAGACACAGCGTGTGGCTTCCTTCTAAACTCTCACAGACATCGCGGCATCGATCTTTAGCTCTTAAAAATGTGATGAACTTACGAAGCATGTCATGAGATTCTACCACAGTGAGGCGCTGCGAACAATTACAGACTGTCAAAGGGGAAGCTGACGGAAGAAGTTCCCACGGGAGCATGAACTTGACCCCTGCAGGTCACCCCCCAGGAGCCCAACATGCTCCTGATGGCCAAGAAGATGCACAAATATGAGAACCTCTTTCTTAGGGCTGCTAACCAAAGTGTGTCGACAGTGGCCACGGATGTCGAAGAAAAATCGGGGGAAGAGGTGGGAATTAACAGAGAAATCAGTTTACGCTCTAATTTCCAAGGAAGTAAAAAATAGAAGGGGGAACTCAGGGCCACTTACCTCAGGGGTCACTACGCTGAGATGAGTCACAAGAGCTGGCACAGACATGATGTGGACGAGGAATGGCCGAATCAGATTGTCTGAAAACTGGGCAGCAATCACAGGGCTAGACACAGACAGATCACCTTACTCAGAGAGGTTACCAGGGGCCCCCCAAACCTCTTGAAATTATGCTTCCCATGGATGGGGACACCTATTAAGGCAGTGGTTCTCAACCTTCTGGCCCTTTAAATACAGTTCCTCATGTTGTGACCCAACCATAAAATTATTTTCGTTGCTACTTCATAACTGTAATGTTGCTGTTATGAATCATCATGTAAATATCTGATATGCAGGATGGTCTTAGGTGACCCCTGTGAAAGGGTCGTTCGACAGCCAAAGGGGTCGCGACCCACAGGTTGAGAACCACTGCACTAAGGGAAGGCTGAGTCACGTGACACAGCTATGACAAATCAGTTTTGATGTTTTACTGACATGATGTCATCAAAATCTTTCTTTAGCCTACTTGTAATTGTTGTACTTAAGCCCCCTCGGGTGACAAATTCTACAAATGCACTTCTGGTGGTACATTTAACAGGGTACGCATCCATTCTGGTAAGCACAGCAGGGGAGGGGGCAAACGTAGTTTAATGCATAGTCTCAGCCATCAGAGAGCTGGGGCCGCAATCAGGGAGCTGGAGAGGCACACAGGCACAGCCGGAAACCAGGGCCAGCGGTCCATGCACCAGGTAAAGAGGGTCCCAGCTAATGAAAGGAGCAGGGCGAGTTTGGGAAGGTCCCCATGTACCATTACTTAAAGAAACACATGTTGTTTTAGAGTACAGAGATGTGCCAATATGGGAAGCAAGTTTAAAGAATAAGGAGTAATGAGTGTGGGCTCTGGAGTCGGACGGCCTGAGTTTAATTCTTGGCCCTACCACTCGCCGCTGTGTGACCAAGGACAAGTGGCTTACCCTCTGGGCCTTAGCTTCCTCATCTATGAAGTGGAGCGAGAGAATGTGGTGAGGAGTCAGTTAATAGGGGTAGACGCCTTAAACAACGTGCGGCCCTTCAGAAGCAAGTACGTTTCCTACTTACCGCAACGCCAGAGAAAAGGCCGCAGTCAAAGTGCCTTTGGACAGACAAGGCCGGGGTCTGGCCAGGCCACGGGTTAACAATATCTGCAAAGAACATTTTAACTGGTCAGGGGATGATGCCAACTTTGTATTCATTTGTTCATAAAAAAAGAAGCATAAAAGTAAAATGAGTGCCTCGGATAAAAAACTATATTGGAATATTTTTTAAAAATGAGGGGAGAGAAAAGTAATAGGGTAGAGGTTCATTAATACCACCCCTTCACCTTTAAATATGTTTAATCTTTTACATAATAAACAGTTTTAAAAAATTAACAGTTGATACAAAGCCCAGACTTAACACTGCGAGACAGGCTAGATTTCAGAAGCAGTTCCGAGTTACGGTGTCAGGTGGACCCCTTCACACTGGGAGGACCTATGGACAATGTCCCCTGTGTGTGGAGCAAATGGAGCCACATCAGGACAGAGCCCATGGCTGAATCAATGCTACTTCTCAGAAATCCTAAACACCAATTCAGCTTCTGACCATTCCTTGGCATATGGGCTGGCACAAAAGGTGCAGTGTGGACAGAAGGCTGTTTGAGGACAGAGCCAGAAAGTTAATTCCAGAACCAACCAAGAAGGAGCCAGAGGGAACAAGCCTGAGGCCTCCTCCCTCAGTTTCAATTTCAAGTGACCGGACTGCACCTGTAGCCAAAGAGCGCATTGAAGGGATCCTGGGGCCACCGCCCCCCTTTACACAAACCACAGTGACCCAGGCCGGGGAAGGTAGGAGAGGACACTGAGCGTTAAACTCTTCCTGCAAAGTATTTCTGTGAGGAGGGCGCCAGATGTGCCAAAACCAAACATAACACCAAGTTCAGGTGTGGAGCGTGAGGTCACCTATTACAGGAGGAGCTCACACACCAGGGGGTGGGGCACAGACCTGCAGCACAGAGTAAAGTCCACGCTGGTTGAGATGTCCCATTATATTTGCACAGATGTGGTTCATGGCTGGTCGGAGACTCTCACCTAAGGAAAGAAAAAGGACTGAGGAAAGAAACCCAACAAATCTCTGGCCGCAAGAGGAACTGCTTAGGTGGGACAGAAAATCGGGCCCCAGGCCAGGGCCACAGGCAGCGAGATGCTCCCTGGCCTGCCTTCCCGCTTCCCTTGGGACTGGGACCAGAGTCCACGGAGATGCTGCATATCCGCATTCTCTCTCCCGAAGGCCCGGCTCAAGTGTCGCCTCTCAGGTAACGGGGCCCAGCACTCTCCCAGCCAGCAGGAAGGGCCCGGCCTTGAGCTCCAGAGCACCTTTCCATTTCCCTCCGAGGGCACGGAACTTTCTGTGCTCTGTGGTTGCCTCCTCTCCAATGAGAAACAAGCTCCTGCAGGGCTCAGGGCTCACCATAGTTTAAATCCTCCCCAGAATCCAGGATAATGCCTTGAAATAAACCCTCCTTCCTGGCTGGGGCTTCTGCATACAGTTTCCTCGGCTTTTGGAGGTTTGTCCTTCTTCACTCAGTGACTCTGACGCTGCCCCAGCTCTGAGCTCACTTGTCACTTCTGCAGGAAGGCCTGAGCCCCGACAGAGCAGGGCAAGGCTGTCCCTGCCCCACTAAACTCGCATTTCTCTTCCTTCTGCGTGCCACTTCTCACACTGTTGTCGCGGCCGAGGATATGCATGTGACTTCTCTTTAATGTCATTCTCCCCACCAGCCTCTCTGTTCTGTGAGCTGCAGTTCAGCAGGTAAAGCCCTGGAGGCCAGTGGCCGCCTCTGTACCTCCAGTGCCTGCACAGCACATGGCACACAGTAGGCTCTTTGCTGAATGGATGGATGAAGTGACGGTCTGACAAACATAAAGCTAAGCATAATGTTCAGGGAAGGAGGCAGCATTACAGGCACATTTTATGGCCAAAAGAGAATTACTTGCTGCTGATTCACCAAATGAAATGACAAGGCTTAGTGAGTGCCTCCCCTGGGGCTTGTGATGGCAAAAGTGCTTCTTACAAAGTAGAAAAGGTGCCCAAGCTCTGCGACTTTGAACAAGTCCCACAGACCTTTTCCCCGGAGAATTTTCCATGTTGAAGTGTCTGTGAAGGTGACAAGCATCGTGAGGTACAGTGTGACGAGTCTGGATTCTTGTAGGATTTCAGGCTGGAAAAAATGAAGAGGAAGGTTAAGACACACACACCCCAGTCCCAGACAGTGAAGCAACCATTCTGTAATTTTGCTGAGTGTTCTCGGGCTCAAGTAGTGAGTCAGGTTGTAAGTACATATTCTTCTTCTTTGTCTCTTAGGGGATGACCACTGTCAGGAGTTAAACGACAGGGATTTTGACCCACGAGTGATTGCCTACGGAATCTAAGTACTCCCGGAATGGAGCGCTGAGGATCCTGGGAAACAGGTGACCAGCGCTGGCCTGCTGGCTTTGCGTGCATTAGGAGCATGTGTATGCTCAGCCGTTCCCTGGAGCAACGGAGTGGAAATGTGACCGAGCATAACAGGGACCCTGGGTTCAGACTGCTGCCTTTACCACTTCCTAGCTCTGTGACCGCGGGCAAGTTTCTTAACCTTTCTGTGCCTCGAATGCTCATCTGTTGACTAGGGATAGGATGGCTGTTGTAAGGAATAAACAATTCATGTACGTAAAGCACTAAGAGCAGCGCCCGCCCGGCACAAAGATAACTCTACAACACTGGCTGTTTTATACACTATTTCACAGGAGCAGACTGGGAAAGGCCCGATTCCTGTCTAGGCTCAGAAACTTAGCATGAGCACTGCAAGGGACCCTGGAGACCAGCTGGTGATGGCGAACTTATGACACGCGTGTCAGAGGTGACACACGAACTCATTTTTTTGGTTGATTTTTCTTTGTTAAATGGCATTTAAATATATAAAATAAATATCAAAAATATAAGTCTTTGTTTTACTATGGTTGCAAATATCAAAAAATTTCTATATGTGACACGGCACCAGAGTTAAGTTAGGGTTTTTCAAAATGCTGACACGCCGAGCTCAAAAGGTTCGCCATCACTGATAGTTGAAAGCTCTAAGCTCAGAGAGAATGAGCGAAGGGAAGTGCCTTGTTCAAGGCCACATGAGGAATTGGGAGCAGATTGAGAACTACATTTAGATATTCCCAGCTTCGGATCTGGTGTTCTTTTCTCCTAATGTGTGTTTCTCTGCATGAACTTTAAACATTTTTTTTTCAAAGCAGAAGTGCCTCTTCTCAAAGAGAAATCCATTGTGGAATGCAGACGCAGCCAGCAGGTAACAGAGAAGACCACTGCTCCGATGCCTCAAGAGGGATGGCTGGGAACGGATCCCTGGGAGCTCTGCTGACATTCACGCCATCGCTCAGCTGCTACCCAAGTCCTTGCCAAGCCTCTGCCCCGGAAACTACATCCTAAAGGCCCCAGGTGGGAAGGATACATTTACAGTGTTTCATTTTACCTTGAGCTGCTCAAGAAACTCACAGCAATGCCACAGCAGGTCCTTGATCTGTTTAATCCATAAGAGGGTGAGATCCTTGGAAAGAGCCAGGGACACATACCACACCTACAAGCAGGAGAAAGAGAAATGTAATGGGCAGTTACAGGGATCACTTTACGTATGGTCTAGCTATTGGCCAGTGCCAGGGAAGGCGATGAGAATCAATGGACAGATAAGCAGCCAATAATGCTTAATTTAACCCTACACCCACCCTCTTACCTTGGGTTCATTCTCAGCATCCATACTGCTCAGGATGCAGCGACACAACTTTTCAAATCTCTGCAGAGAGGCAGAAGGGGGGTCATAAATTCCAGCAACTGATAAAAATGGGAAAGAAGCAAATGTTTGGTGGGTACCTGGCATGTGTAGGCATTTTGCCCAAAGACTCACAGCGAGTCTTACAGATGTGGGGACTGAGGATCAAAAAGGTATAGAAAGGCTCTCAAACTGGGGGCCCACGGACTCGATGAGCCCTACATTTCCTTTAGAAACGTGTATTTCACATAAAAATCCAGGTTGGCACTCCTTTTGAAAAACAAACTCAACTGGCACCCTGGGCGTGGGCCCCTGGGGACGAGCAGCTGTCTCCTAAATCCTGCTCCCCCGTTTGCCATTCTGTAAGCATCGTGGACACTGACTTCTGCCTCACAGGCTGTTGTATCATCGTTTGTTATCTTGAAAAGCAAAAGGGAGAAAACTGGAAGCTGAAAACCAGACCACACTGTGGCAGTCCCAACCCTGGACCCATCCTTAAAAGTGGTGTGGTCCTGGGCGGCCGGCCCATCCCTCCGAACTACCGCTTCCGCCTCTGTAACCGAGGTCGCCTCACCGAGCCTGCCGGTCCTCACCTACGTGAGGTGACATGTGCTCACTGCCCGTGTGCTCCGTCTCCTGCTGGGCTCCCAGCTCTCTAGGGTAGAGACCTTGCCCATCTTTTCCTTCTGGAACCCCAGTGCCTACCAGATGGCCTGCCACGAGGTGAGACTTAGCAACAATGAACGGTAACCCCTGATCACCCAGAGGCATTCCTCAATGGCATTGTTAGTACTATTACAGGTGACTAGCTATTTCCTGGAACTGTATTTTCTGGGTTAATTCTAACCCCAAAGGTACAACCAGTATGTTTTGTTTGGTTTGCAGGATCTAAAAGGAATTTGAAATTAGCTACCAATTTTTACAAATGAGAAAACAGCATAAAGAAGTCCAGCATCTCTTTAAAAAAAATCAGGGTCCACCCCTGGCTGCAGAGTAGAGGCCGTGCCCTCTGGATGGGCACGCCACAGACCCCACCGCTCCCTCCGAGGTCTCGCCACCACTGTGAGTTACCATGTATTGTGACCTACATTATGTTTTATCTCATCAATGGCTTCTTCACTCTTTCTTTTTTTAAAATATATTTTTATTGATTTCAGAGAGGAAGGGAGAGGGAAAGAGAGATAGAAACATCAATGATGAGAGAGAATCACTGACCAGCTGCCTCCTGCACGCCCCCTACTAGGGATTGAGCCCACAACCCAGGCATATGCCCTTGACCAGAATTGAACCCGGGCCCCTTCAGTCCGAAGTCACTCTTTCATCTAACCTCCCTGGCCTCCATATGCATCTGAGTCCAACAAGTGCTCTTAATAGTCGATGAGAAAAGATTTGTGAGGAGGTCCAGAAGCACTGGGCGTAACCCTGCAAATCAGGCCCAAGAAGACAAAGGGCAGGATGTGGGAGTGGCGGAGAGCTGCCCTAAGAACAGGGTGCCTTAGCATTTATAAAAGACCCGGCAGACAGAAAGGACGATGTATGTTTGCTGTTATTATTTTACCTCATTATCTTCTTTCATTCTGAACAAGAACAGCAGTTTCCTGGCAATCTTAAAAATACAAAGTGCACTTCTTCTACTGGACCCAGTGTCATCTGCTTTAAAAAACTCATCGATCTCTCTCCTAAGGGAGGGAAGAGTAAAAAAACAAAACAAAACTTTTTTCATTAGGAGCTCCCAGCAGTGTCAGAACTGTTAGAGAAAACGCCTTCTTTTCTTGCTATTGCTTGGGGGCAAGAGAAAACGTGCTGAGGAGTTCCTGGCGCCCACCTGATGTCCCTCTGTAGTCGCCTCCGACAGAGAAAACTCCGCACGCGGGCCTGAATCCCGATGGCCGCCCGCTCCCGCTCCTTCTGCACAAGCCTTTCCTCTCGAGCCTGCCGGGCTCTATCGATGAACCATGCTCGCGAGGTCTGAGAAACGGTGAACATGTTTGCAAACTTGCACAAACCCTGCAAGGGAAATGGCGAGCTGTCGGTATAGATCACTGTATGAGAAACACACACAGCAAGGGGTTCAAGAGCAAAGGGTGGGGAGGGGTGTGGGCAGCAGCAGAGACTACCCAGGGCCCTCCACCACCTCCCAAAGTGCTAACAGTTCTCCTGGCACAAGTCCCAATTCCTATCGGCTCTTTTCATGCAACTCACCAGAGCAGCACTGCTGCTTCCTGTATTAAATAATTACATCTTCTTGAGAGAAAATGTGCAGCGCCTGGCCTAGGGCATGGGTTCTGTAATCGTTTAATGAATGAACAAAGCACGACTCAGTCCCATCCATAAACTTCTAATGCAAGCCATGCGTCCTCTAAGTCAGGGGTCCCTAGATATTTGAATTCTTTGGAGCAGTCCACAGTATTTGGGAAGCCAACACGCAGCAGTTCGCTTTTATTTTGCCAAGTCAAGACTTGAGGGGAAAACCAATGAATATTTACCGTCACTGTTACTTTTATTCATCCATTCATTCAACGAATATTTACTGGTACCTACCTTGTGCCAGTACTAAAAAAAGTGTTTCATTTTTTTAAAGGATCGTTTTAACAAGAAGCCAAAGGTGCGTGATGTCAGAATGCAAGACAATCATTAAATTGAATATGTTTTGTTTTATGTGTAACTTATTCCTTTGTCCTACTGATCCCATTCCTCCAAGGACCACTGACGCCTTTAAAGCAGAGCCTCCTCCTCCGCTGGCTGGAACTTTTGGATAGAGGCTCTAAATGACCCGTTACGCTGGTTGTTTTTTAATCCTCACCCGAGGATACTTTTTTTTTAAAGAGAGAGAGGACAGGAGAGAGAAACATCGATGTGAGAGAGAAACATCAATCAGTTGACGCCCATCTGTGCCCCGACCAGAGATGGAACCCACAACCCAGGTGTGTGCCCCTGACTGGGAATCGAACCCACAACCTTTTCATGCATGGGACAACGCTCCAACCAACTGAACCACCTGGCCAGGGCTACACATTTTTATCTCAATCACTAATAACTCTTTTCCCAAAGGGATGCTTTTTTAAAAATATATATTTCATTGATTTTTTACAGAGAGAAAGGGAGAAGGATAGAGAGTTAGAAACATCAATCAGCTGCCTCCTGCACACTCCTACTGGGGATGTGCCTGCAACCAAGGTACATGCCCTTGACCTGAATCAAACCTGGGACCCTTCAGTCAGCAGGACAATGCTCTATCCACTGAGCCAAACCGGTTAGGGCCAAAGGGATGGCTTTGGATAGCAGCCTAGAGCACATACTACTGGTCCCTAGAACCTCCCATACTAAGATCATTTCTTTAGATGCTTGGTAACTTTGTCACTCTATCCAAAATATGTAATCAGCCCAGCTGACAAAAGCTGAAATGAATTATCATAAATCCAGACTTCAAGACAAGCTCTTTACTAGGTTACTTCACTCACAGCAGCACCTACATGAAAACATCATCAAGAATGAAAGGGTCACGGGAGACTCCTCCCATGTCGGTATACCGAGGGACCTCTGTGGCCCCTTTTCAACACTGATTCGCATCCTGTTAAACAAGTCTTTTCCAACACGTGCATGGCTCATCAGTAATTCTCAGAACAAATGAACAAAGTCCGCCTGACTATAGGAGAGTAAGAAGTCTGGTGAGAAGAAGGGCTTCTGAATCATTCACTCTTTTGGCCCCAGCAGTGGTCCACAGAGCTCACCTGAGGACCTGCCTGTGTCGCAGAAATGCCAAGTAATCATCAGTGATCTCGCAGGGGACTCACGGCCACGGGCAGCTTCTCACTTCAGAGGAGCTTGTCCTCTCTGGCAGAAGCAGAAGAAAAAAATCCAGACTTAGGGTTAAGTTTTATAGGTAGGGCATCATACGTCTTCCTCACTAAGTAAAGTAATACATTCAGTGCCTCTGGTTTAAAAAACAACACTGTGTTCTCTTTAGTTAATGTCTGGTCTAAATGTTAACCTTTAGCGCCACAGTTCTCACCATTTAAAGGGAACTGGTTGAAAATACAGTTGGCCCTTGAACAACACGGGTTTGAAACGCATGGGTCCACTTAAACATGGATTTTTTTTTCCAATAAATATGGTAAATGTATTTCCTCTTATGATTTTCTTAACATTTTCTCTCTAGCTTACTTCATTGTAGGAATACTGTACATTATTATGTTAACATACAAAAATGTGTTAATTGATTGTTTATGTCATCAGTAAGGTTTCCAGTGACTAGTAGGCCATTAGCAGTTCAGTTTTGGGGGAATCAAAAGTTATACATGGATTTTCAACTGCTCTTGGGGGGCGCGGGGTGTCAGTGCCCCAACCTCTGTGTTGTTCGAAGAAGTTATAATCCCAAAGAAGTTAATGAATTAAAACTTTATATGCGTTGTGATGTAAGCAAGAGTAACGGGATAGAATATTAAAAAGCCACTGAAAATAATGTTTGGCATTTTTAACAACATTGAAAACTATTTATGCCTAAGAAATTGTGTGAACCAGTATGATTCCAATTACATGAAAAAGAAAAATGCACACAGAGAAAAAACTGGGGGGGAAATATACCAGAATGTTACATAAGAGTGGTTGTTTTGAGAGCATGGCATTGTGGGAAATTTTGCTTCTTTACCGGGTCTGTTTTCTAGGTTTCCTACAGAAAGCGCGTGGCGAGGCAGCATGGTACTGAGAGGCACTCCCTCGCTCTGCCATGTACTGTCGGGTGATGTCTCAGAGCCTGTCTTTCTCCACTGATCAGCTCAGAGGCCAAGCATGAGGACTAAATGAGATGATGTACATCAAGTACCTACTGAGGTGGCTGACGAGCACACTCAGTAAGTCTAATGTATTATTATTATTACTATTTTTAAAATTTTTTAAAATTCTCACCCGAGGATATGTTTATTGATTTTTAGAGAGGGACAAAGGGAGACGGGGAGAGAGAGGGAGAGCAAGAAAGAGGGAGGGAGAGAGAAAAGTGGAAGAAAGAGGGAAGGAGAGGGAGAAACATCAATTGGTTGCCTCCCATATGCGCCCCGACCAGGGATCAAATCCCCAACCTGACCCAGAATGAATCTACAACCTTTCGGTGTATAGGACACTCAAACCAACTGAGCCACCCGGCCAGGGCTAATGTATTATTTTTATAGACACAAAATTTTTCTTGTTTTTTTTTTTTGTTTTTTTTTGTTTTGTTTTTTAGCCTTCTGTCACTCAGGTTCTTGGGGTGGGAGATAATGTTGGGACCCTTACATTCCTCACCCATTAGACAGGACTGGGTACGCTAAGATTCACCAGTCCGGTCACATGGGCAGTGAACCCCTGGCCCTGTTCAGATTGGGTAATAGCTTCAAGCTCCTGAGAGCTAGCTGCAAAGGAGCTGGGCCCAAGCCAGGAGCACAGTGGTTATGTGCTTTCCTTAACATGTGGACAGTCCCTCATATGTGGGGGAGAAGAGGGAGCCTCTTCCTAATGGAAAAATAGGAGGCTGCACACAAACTGTGACTAAGTATCTGTCAGACTATAGCAAGGCTTGGTTAGCATCGTCTATAGGTTGTCGGAACTGGGGCAAAATGACATATAATGAAACCAATTTTCCCATAGGCTAATTGATACAAACAAGAGTTAAGTTCCTATGGCATCTCATCAATGTTAGAATGAGACAACACTGAACAAAACTATGTTATTGGAGGACCTGCTGGGTCTCAAACTTTCACTTCTCCAGGGGCCGCTCAGGATAAGATCTCTTCCTTGAGACCATCCTCCCCTCACCAATGTTATATGTTGGTTTCTGTTTACAACATACGATAGCCTATGCTTGGCAGTTTTTCTCATTCTTTCTTATTCACCTGCTCCACCTATATTGTCTACTATAATTCATCAATAAGATAAAATACATTATGAAGTATTTATTAGGTGCTTACGCTGGCAAATGCCACTGAGAATCAAAGAAAAGGCTGTGTGTGACAGAAAAGGCTTTGGGTCGGACAAAGCAGCCCTTGGTTCTTTTTAGTTCTGATTCTACCTCATTTGCCAAGTTACTTGCCCTCCTTAGGCCTCAGTTTCCTTATCTGTAAACTAAGAGTCATAATAGTAACATATCTACTTCCTAGAGTTGCCAAAAGTTTAAATTAAGGTTAAATGAAATGTTTACCCTTCTTGTACCTCAATTTAGTCATCATGACACTGTCATTAGCATTAAAAGAGAAAATATTAATAAAAGCATCTGGAAACAAATAGCATATAAGTGAGCTTTACTGTTTTGTCCTTAAGCAGCTTGCAATCCAGTTAGGAAAACAACAGTGATATCGGTGGGACGATGTGGAGACAAGAGGCTGGTGACCATCTAGATCATATGAAAAGCAAAAGGAAAACATGTTGCTTGAGCACCCACTCAGGCCAAATCCTTTCTAAGTGATCTCCTCTAATGAGACAGCACCCCCGTGAGATCGTTTACTATCTCCCATAGCCCAGGTCAGACCATCAAGAAGGGTCACAGCCACTATTTTCATAAGAAGAGACAGGACTCGGCCTCCCCTTTACTTCACT